GAACTCAGAGATCACGGAGGCAATTCTCCGGGACCATCACCGTTCGGCGTGGTGCAAATGGAGACGGAGACTTCCTCATCTCATCGCCGTACTCAGCCGCATGAGAGATTTCTACATGGAGATATCATTTCACTTCGAGAGCTCCGTGATTCCATTCGTCGGAAAAATCGCTCCTTCCGATACTTACAAGATATGGAAACGCGGTGGAGATTTACGCGCCGATACTTCATTAGCCGGATTCGACGGTTTCAAGATACGCCGCGCCAATCAGAGCTTTCTCTTTCTTAGTGATGGAGATGAGTTTCTTGATGTGTCTCCTGGTACGTTGCTTGTGTTAAACAGAGACGATAAAACGATCTTGAACGCTTTCGAAAACGCTAAAGATCCGATTAGCGATAGCGATATAGCTGGCTTTTGTGGTCAATCTAGCTTGTACCGTCCGGGGATGGATGTTACTAAAGCAAAGCTCGTTGAGATTACGAATTGGCGACGGCAAGCGAAGATTGAAACTGTCGGAGAGTGGAAAGCTAAAGCTTACGATGTCGAAAACGTTAGTTTTAGTTTTAAATCAAGAAAAGTCGGAAAAGAGCAGGGTTTGCGTTTGGACGAGACTCGTCGGAGTGTGTCAGAACCGTTACGGCCGCAGAGGCGGGAGCAGAGGAGGAGATCGGTTTCTTTACCGGAAGCGGCGATTCTGGTGGCGAATTCTTCTGTGGGGCGGATCAAAGAAAAGGAGATTGTGAAGAGTTTGCGTCCTTCGGTTTGGTTAACGGATCAGTTTCCTTTGAAAACAGAGGAGTTGCTTCCGTTGCTTGATATTTTAGCCAACCATGTCAAGGCTGTTCGGAGAATGCGAGAGCTGCTTACCACCAAGTTCCCGGCGGGAACTTTTCCGGTCAAGGTAAGAAGGGGCATTCTTGGACATTACTCAAATTTATTTTAAGCGTTTTGCATGAGAAATTTTAAGTATCATGAACATTCTATCAGACGTGTCGTAATTTCATTGGTTGATGTTTAGAGTTGCACTAATGTGACATTCCTCATAAAGTCAGAGGAACAAAATGAATCGTTTACGATTTGGTTTAGGCTTTTAGGTTATCAAATTTATATGGTTTGGTTTGGTTCGGATTTGAGATTCGGTATTTTACTAACAGTAAAAGATTACAGTTTGTTGGGACGTAAAAAATCCAAAACCGGTTTAGATTTTGCTTTTTCACATCAATTTTTTTTCCATCTTTTTGGTATTTAGTTGTCCATACCGGTGATCCCAACAGTAAAAGTAGTCATGACATTCAGCAAGTTCGTGGCTCTTCCACCGTTGGATGAATTCTACACACCGCTCTCAAGTCCAAAACATCTATTAGCTGCAATGGAAGACCAACATGACGTGCACGATGATGAAAAATTAGATAGAAGAATCTCAAGTTCACGTCCATCGTTTTCAACGCCTTCTTGGTTGAGACTGAACATCAATGCCACCGGCAAGAGCTCACGGCGGCGTTTGGTGGATGAGGAACAAGTGGTGGATCCATTCACGATACCAACAGGGTATAAGTGGACTAGTAACTCAGATAATTCAGGTAATTGTAACATTAATTAGAGATCTATTGAGTCTACTAGAAGTCATTTAGATGTTGATAGTTCTGATCAATACATAGATAGGACAATTTCATGCACATTCTTTCAATCTTTCTAATCAAGGATAGATCCTCTATTTCCTTTTCAACATATTTCACTAAACTCCTTTTAAACAATAGAATACTACATTTCTCTACGCTTATCTTATTAATCTTTCCTAACTAGAAAGGAACACAAATACAAGTATTTCATCACATTTCATAACAATAATATGTCTCATGATGCTATTTTATTCATTTATTTTGTAGGTAAAAAGAAAATAACACTATCATGTGGATGCGCTAAAGTAAATTTTCCAAAAAGATAAATATCTTGGGACCATGCATACGTAGTTAGTAGTATGTGATAGTATTGTCATTGTGTTGTTGTTATTCGGATTTAAATTTGGCAAAATACATATTGTTGAGGAACAAAATATGGGGCGAGTGTTATAAGCCGATATTTTAAGCGTTAGACTTAGATCATTAACATATCTATGTGATTTATTTTTGTGTTTGTTGTAAAACAAAGTACTCGTCACTCATGAATAATTAATCTAAACATTTTACACAGATGATTTTGATGTCTATTAACCACAGTTTAGGGGCTACAAGTCCTTCGCTATTTTAACTTGTTTAGACGGTTTTGTAAATGCATATTTTATCATATATATCCGATCGATTTTTCATATAAAAATTGCGATATTTCCAGTGACTGGTGTTTGAGACATTTTGATACCCTAAACATTGATTTATGTTTAAACTTTACATTTCTTCCATGATTATAGAAAGTGGAATTAGGACTTTTAGAGTTATAAAAATAGAACAAGTTTTGTGGAGTAAATTATGGAACTACAAAATAAAAAATGATTTCGTATGATTAGGTTCTTCTTATGCGTTATAAATAAAGTTGAAAGATTCCAAAACAACGTTTGCTTTGCAAGTTGGAAACGAACTAACTTGAGTTGGCAAGTCCATTCCATGACAACCCAAAAATCATATTTAAACATTTTGTATCAAACAATAAAAGCTTTAGATAAAAAGACGACAAGCAAATAGGGAATATATAGTATAATTATATTACATTAAAAACAAAAGATTGACAACCCATCCACTATTAGTCTACATTCTCCACATTTCCACTTATCTTGCTCATCCAAAATCGGTCATTCTCTCTTTAGTCTTTACCAAGAAGAGCTCCAAGAATCAGAGGTATTTGTTTGTTTGGTCATGCTTATATATTCATAGATTATTCGATTTCAACTAATATGTTCTGATAGGTACATAAGATATTGGGATCATTATAAAATGGCGAGTGAAGCACCTAGTTGGGCGGATCAATGGGGGACCGGAGGAATTGGGGTGATGGCTGCGGAGGAGACAACTGACGGCAAAAAAGACGTCACCGGGAAAAAGTCCGGCAAGACCAAAGCAGGGATTAACAAAGCCAAGATTGTTGTATTTATTGGTGTCAATTGGATGAAGAATCTTGTGCAGAGGAAGAAGAAGGATTCTACTTCTTCATAGATATAAAACATGCTATTGCTTCTTCTATTTGAAATGTCACAATCTTCTATGCTATTATTATTCTTAATTCTTTTAAATGGTATCTTGGAGTTCCAATGGTGTGCATCCCACGAATGGATTGAAATTTTTTCAATGTTCACAATATAAAAATTGTCTGATGGATCCCGTATAATATCCCTATCCAAAGGAAGCAAAAGAATATAAAGTTGTATACTATATTACTGTTACTTATTGATTTTTCAGTGTTTTTGGGTACTTGTTTCAATTTTGTCTTCATATTATGTTATTAGTAATTAGCTATAGCATACATGTTACGAATGAGACATGTATCATGATAAGAAAATTAAAATGCGTAAGGAAAATTACAACCTTAACAGGATTAGACACATTCTCTTGGTTGACCAAGGAAAAATAAAAACGCTCTTCAGAGGTTTGGTTAGAAGTCTTTAAGGTTTAGTTGTAAAGGACCATGAACATATATCTAAATTTTTTGGAGCCATATTTTTTCTAAACTAAAAGTAGTTAATACTTCAGATGATTGAAAGAGTAGTTATATGATAATCTTTTGTGCAAAGTCAATTATTTCTTTAAGCATATCTTTCCAATTGGTTGCAATATCTATTAAAAATGATAAGAATTCCTAAATATTAAGTTGACCCTACTATTGATATGAAAGCATTGAAAATTAGGAAAATTCTATTATGTATGCATTTACTTTGTAAGCATTTTTTAAATATGAATACACTTTTCAATAAGTACACAAAACACATTATAAACTTTTGAGATGTATATGTTGATTACCCATATACTTTGCTAGCGGCCGAAATGATCACTTTCATGATTTTTTTTTGCATAGGTTCATAAAACATATATTTACTTTTTTTTAAGGAAATATTAAATAAATGATAGGAACTTAACAAGAGAAGAAATAAATAGGGAGGGAGAATATTTGGAAAGTTGAGCCATATTAATTTCGAAATTCAAATGTATATTGGGAGTGGCACAACCCCACCAACATGCCTTGCTCTCTCTTACAAACCTCATAAATACTAAATTGAAAGCTCGTGGGAACCTTGTGTTCCTTTAATTTATCGTTATCTAGCAATCTAGCATATACTAGTTTACATATATTGATTTGGTTAGAATAGCTTCTATAATAATATCAGCATAGCAAACCAGTCTACGTAAAATGCGTATTCTAACGTAAAAACCAGATTATAGTTATTTGGTTAGAACTTATATATATGATGATTAGACCATCTTTTACATGGTTTTAGAGAACAAACTAAATTTGTTAGGCCACTGCCACAGCCACAGCCACTGCGACAACAAAGACAAACTCTTGTTCTTGAAAATTCATTTGAGAGTATACCTGATAATTTGATATCATCGGTTGTAAAAACGAATATGTAATGTTACATTACTAATGTATAAAGTATAAACAAATATTATTATCTTTTGAAAAAAGTTTTTCATAGAAACAATTCAAATTTAATAAACCAACCTCCTTTTTGGTATGGGGTTGTTGGTCTAATTTAATGCTTGTCTCTTGCTTGCCTCTCTTCTTCAACCATCTTCGTATTTATATCTTCTTCTTCACTATGCATACTCATAAACTTTGCTACTGGCCGCATTTCTATTTTCTCCTTCGATTCTTCTAATTCGTACTTTGGTTTCTGACGTCCCTAAAATTTTTAGACAGTAAGAGTTTCTCCAGGATCCGATGGTTCTCTCCGGTAAATTAACATTTTAGTGTCAATAGTCATTTATACATATTTTTATTTCACTTTTTGTTTTGTTTATTGGTTTTCTGGAGCTAAGTGGAGATTATAGTCGAACAAGAGTGGTTTTATGCAAGGTAACGCGAGATATTAGTGCGGTTCAATCAAATAGTCGTCCTCTTAACTCATGGAGAACGGTGTTGTTCGATTGAGCCGTGCCAATATCACGCGGTAAACCAAAAATGGCAAAGATAGTTATTATAACCTTAAAGGTATGTATCATTATCGTTTTATTGTTTCAATTTTGATTAATGGCTTTGATATTTCATTTTTTTTTTATAATGTTTTTACTCTACAGGCACTCGATCGGTAGCCTTAGAGGGGACAAGCAACACAAAACCCAAAATCCAAGTACAACTGCGATTTGCAGTTCTATTTTTAGCAAGTATTTAAGGGAGTAAAAGTACTAACAAGAACGTAAAACATTTGTAATTACTATCTGAAACTTTTGTCCATAAGTTAGCTGTGGAATGATTTATCTTATTTGTTATTTAAAGAAAAGTGTATATGTTTATTCGCTTGTTGTTGTTAATCTAACGAAAACGAGGAAGTCTGTTTTTGGACTTATTCTATCAGATAAGGTTAAATCTATGAAATTTCATCAAGTCGGTCCACATTTCCGGAAGTATGTTTGTGACAAATCAAATTATAATATTTCTAGTTTAGTGAAAAAAGTAAACATGTCAGTTTTTTTGTTTACATTTTCCCCAGACAAATGTCCAACCAATGTTAGACGATAAGAGAATTACCAGCTAAATAAAATAAATGCTCGAACTTAAGAAAACACATGTAAAAAACATCCACAACATAGAAAAGTCAAGACCGAATAAAGAAATTATGATATCGATCTGAAATCCAAAGATGCGATCGATTTAATCCAAATCATTTGAATAAACTTAGGAGTTTTGTACCTATATTGATACTCCTGTTTCACATATATGTCGTTTGAGGTTATTACACTTGTTCTGAAACGAAATTGAGTTCTAAAACGAGAGAGTATAAGTCCAAAAGTAACTTAATATATATATATATATATATATATATATGGTCCCATAGAAAGGTAAGAAAAAACACACAAAGGAGTGCAATGAGAAGCAAAAAGGACATGTGGAAATTTAATAAAAAGGCACAACAATAAGGACTCTCTGTCTGTCATAGGACAAACCAAATGTGACCAAAACATTATTTCTTGTCTCTCATTAAACCACTTCACTAACTATTTTTTGCATACATTTATTCATTTTCTGACCAAAAACCCTACTAACTATATAACCCCACCCAAAAAAAAACAAAAAAAAAAACAGAATTGTTTTGAAATCTTTTCGCTCTCTTTTTTTTTTTTAATCATTCTAAATTATTAGCAAGTTATAGCATTGTAGTAGTAGTAAGATATAAATTTTGTTTTCTATAAATATTTTCAGGAATTTGACGTCCATAATGCATTTTGAGGTTCACCACAACGTTCGTGAACGTCGGCCATCCTCTCAGCCGACCGACAGATTCCGCTGCATTTCCAGTCGAACGACGCCGCGCAAACATGTCCCATCATTGCTTTTAGTTCACAATCTGTAAAGAAACAATAATGCTTTAGAATATGATTTTCTTAGAGAAATTTCTAAAACCTTGATATATTTCATACCAGTATAAAAGCTTTTCTGTTGTAAAATACTAAAATCAACTTAGAGTAAAACCGGTAACATCTATGGATTAAACCAAACCAGGATTGTTAAGCTCTTTACCTTGAGAAGTACTGCAACAAAGTCTTTTTTCATCAACATGTTCTACATTCAATCCGATGAACCAAGATCCCAACGAAACATCTTCATTCGCATACTTATGCAGTAAATCCCTTATTTCAACAAAATAAATAGAGATCGTTAGAGGTTTTTCCCAAGCATTCTGGCTGCATTAAACCGCTGGCTAAAACCAAGTTAGGAAAAAAACTTACTGGTTTATCAGTATGTAAGTAGCTAGATCTTTAGATATAGCATAAAACTGTCCAGTGGCGTGGCGGAAATACTTGTTCCCGACTTCTCCAAACTTCCAATACTCTGGCTCATGGTACTTCACACTCCTGTTTTTTTTTTTGCCAGAAGTATAGAAAGTCCGGAAAGGTTGATGCTCTTACGCTGTTTAAGTACCTAAAAAATGCTCACCTTAGTAGGGTTTTTACTTACTTTCTGGCTAGGACGGGACCAGACTTCATGCAACCAACATAAACCCGAGGCTTGTTTTGGTGTGCGGATAAAGCCTTCTTGAGGGAGGCTGCAAAAAATCGGATCAAGGCATCAAAACAAAATGGATGGATGATATATAAGACATAAATGAAACATTTTGATTTTCTTACCAAGATTCACATGAACGTCATCGTCAACTTTGATGTAGAATTCTGCATCCCACAAGGAAACAGCGGTAGCGAAAAACGTCTTTGTCTTGGCAGATAACTTCATGTATCCCTCCGTATGTTCCTGTTTTGTTTTCTAAAGCTTTGAATAAATGTAGCACGAAAATACCAAACACAGAAAATTTTGTGAGAATTGCTCAGAGTTTTACCAGTCTCAAGAAATCACCATGTGTTTTCTCTTCTGCTTCAATAGCTTTATCAAGAATCCCGTGGGACAACACACTGAAATCAGAACATTCCAAGAACATAAAAATGTCGGTATACACAAAGTAAAGTATAGTTATAAATGCTTAGTTTCTCACTACAGAACATGACTTCTCCTTTGTACCTATGTCCTATAACAAAGCGAACAATGATGCCTTTCTCTTCTTCAAGTTTCTTAAGATTCTCTCCTGAATGATAGTTTAAAAACCGTAAAAGTTACAATTTCTGACTAATTTAAACTAGAAATCAAGAAAAGTAGAAACAGACTTACCTTGTGGCATCCATGTTGACCGGACAGAGTCACGTCTCTTACGACTACTAAAGGCCGTGTTAATACCGATAACCATGAAGTATTTTCTTTTCTTAGCTTCATTGGATATGTTAAATTTCCCGGACAATGACTCACGTTCAGCTCTAGCAGCTACTAGTTTCATCTCTAAATTTGAAATGGATTTATCTAAGATCCTGCAATTTGTTTTGAGTTCTACAACATCATCATCAACTAAACATACATAGTAATTGTTCATAGATACATCTAGTCAAATTTCTAAATGGTTTTACCCGATAGTGTTGTTACCATAGTCCAAAACCTGCAAAGAAACACAAGTTCAAACAATGTATCATCGAATTTCCAAGTGAATTGATGATGCAAAAACGTAGAAATCTTACATTCTTTTTATCGCAATCACTGGAACTTAAGCTTAGTTTGGAGAGTCTTGATATGCCTCTAGCTTCAGGTACTATATTCCACATCCTGATATAATGATGATCATTATCCCATGAGATCAAAACAAACACAAATCCGAACCAAAATTCAGATCAAGTCACTATCTATCTCAGTGATACAGATTTTTGAAACAAAAAGAAGTAATCTCTATGTTATTTTCATACTTTGTGGACAATGTGCCATTCAAATTATTCAATTGTTCCTCTTCCGACGATACATTAAGCAAAGAGATTGATCAAATACTACAAAAGTTACAATGTTCCACTATTTGATCAAATCTATCTGATAAGCAGTATAAGATATAGTTTTTTTTGTGTGTGTCTCTTGATTCCTCCTCACTAAAGCTACAAGGACACAAATAGACCAGTAGTCTTGATAAAAAACAAAAACATGCCTTCACCGACAAAACTCAAAGCTTAAGAAATCTACTTAAATTTTGAGAAACACAAGATAGATTCAGTCCCAAGAAGATGAAATTAGAAACAACAAAATACTTAAAAATCCAGAAAGAAAAAGAAGCTAGAATCAAACACGAACAGTGAGATATCCAAACTTTAATAAGAAATCGTCGAACATAATAAAAATGGGGCTCATGTAATAGATTTACCTGTTAGTGAAGAACATTCCAAGGCAGAAACTTGCGAGGCACATGAAAAATACAGAGTTTCTAGAAACTACATTTCTTGGAGTAAAATTGTAATCTCCTCTGTTCTTGAATGACATTTGGATTTGGTTTCAGGACTCAAATCCAAAAAAAGCAGAGAATGGTCAATGCAAAATCAAAGATTTGTTAATTTGGAAGTCAAAAGATTCAAGCTTTTTTTGTGGGTCTATTTACAGTACTTTTCTGCACACTCTCTTTCTCCCACTCTCTCTCCGCATGAAGAGAGAACAAACCCACTAATTGAATCACTTTTTATATAACTTACAAGTTTGGTAACGTTTTGGCATATACAATAATGACGTTTCAGATTATAGATTTTGAAGTTACTAAAATATTTTAAACTGATGATTTTTGCTACTAATGTAATGATAACTGCAGCTGCAGATCTAGTACCGGAGAAAAGAGTTACGTACTGTTCTGTTTCCGGGTCAGATTTGGAATTGTGAAAAAGTACTAATTTAGTTAGAAACTGGAACAATGTGAGAAAAGTACTAACAGTGTGTGTATAAACTTTGCTTAACTTTTGATTTATTCAGAATTACAAAAGCAGAATCCATAGACCTATCACGTTTTTTATATTGCTTTGGGAATGTAAAAGAAGAAGAAAGGATCAAACTCTCTAAGTTGTCTCATAAGCTAATTTCTGTACATACAAAGAGAATTCATCTTAGAGCTTCCATTTTATTTGGTCTTACTTGCGTGCAGAGTGATAGAGCTCAAGATACTCAAGTGCAGGACGGTTCCATGACCAGTCTTGCTCCATCACCGTCTTGCACAGCGAGTTAAACCACTCTCTACCATCGTACCACGCCGATATCGCCCTGGGAACAAAAGGAAACAAGAAACATCGGTTCATAATGCTCGAATCAAAAGAGAGTCTTAGTTTAGATTTTGGTTGGTTTACCTATTGAGAGCATAATCAACACCAGGAGCATCAGCTCCGTCGAAGCTGAAACCATTAGGTTCTAGAACTTGAGCTTGTGCCCTTTCTTTATCGTGGTCAACATCAAAAACCGTATCAAAGAGTCCTGTTGGACAAAGATAAACCATTACCGTAAAGTCAGCTTGGTCTTGAGTGAAATGGGTAAAGCTTAAGATTCTAACCATAGCCAAAAACAGTTACCTCCAGTTTTTCTAACAACAGGAACAGCGCCGTATCTCATGGCTATGAGCTGTGTC